AAAGAAAAGAAAAGAAAATTCTACTGAATGTTTATACTTATTCTTTTTTCAGATGGTTCTTTCCAGTCATTCTGCACTATAAATTACACCATTGTACATGTCCTACTATACATATTTCTAGGTTCCCCATACACAGATTTACAGAAGTAGAAATATGAGCTCAAAGGGCAGAAGCATTTTATGCCCTTGGTCTGTATTGGAAAATAGTTTTTAAAAAAAAAAGATTGTGGGGCTTTAAAATACAAAATAGGCTGCAAGTTTTTATTTTCACCACTCTCTTACCAACCTTCTATAGCATCAGTTTAATTCATGCAAATTGAACAATCCTTAAATATTCTCACTTTGATTTCCTTTCCTTTCCTTTGACCATTCTGGAGTCTTAACATGCCCAAATGTAGTTATGTATTTATTTGGAAGGCTGGGTCTGTATGAACTGCTTGGACAGAGAAAATTAATATTAAGAATTTTACATTATATATTAAAGAATTAAGAATCAGAAAGAAAAAAAAAAACACGAAGGATCTGCTACTATCCCCAGGCGAGGGAATAAAGGAAAGGGAAGGTGGCAGCTGGCAGGTTCTGCTGTCTCTGGAGTCCATGGCAAAAGGCAAGATTCCAAGTAATGGGAAAACTGTAAACTAGATGCGACTGCTGCTGTGGTGAAGAACCAGGGCTGTGTGGTTGCCCAATTTAGCAAAAACAAAATTCAGTACACTCAGTGAAATTTCAATATTAAATAAATAACAACTATTTTTAGAATACTTACGCTGAATGTATTACATACTTATTCTTTAAAAGTTACTTGTTTATCTAAAAGTCAGGTTTTACTAAATGTCCTACATTTTACTTGGCAATCCTACAAGACTAAGGTAATTGGAAAAAGGTATTCCTTCCTCCCTCATCTAGACTTTCACGTTCCCTCGAACGCCCCCTATTGGAGGAGCCCAGTAGAGCAGGTTGGCAAAGTCAATCAGAGTAAAGAAGTGTAAATTTGATGCTGAGAAGCCATCACCCAGCTGGAATTGGGTAATTATACACAGCGCACCCTTTTGACTATTTAGTATCCATGCATTTTATTCTACACATTTGTACTTCTAGGCAACAAAAATATCTCTAACAAAATACAATTGTCCCCACAAATGAAAATATTTTCATCTTCTCCCCAAAATGGGAAGAAGCAAAGACTCCGCAGTCATTTTATTCATCTCTGCATCACACTATTCATCTCTGGGCAGGATTTAATAACTCTTAAACTTAAGTTACAGCCACAGATAAAAATTCTGTTTCTCAAGACTAGTGGGTAGGGGCTGGGGATTTAGCTCAGCGGCATAGCACCTGCCTGGCAAGCGCAAGGTCATGAGTTCAATTCCTGATACCGGAAGAAAAACAAAAACAAACAAACAAACAAAAAAGACTAGTGGGTAGACTTAACCTCCAATGAACATATAAAATGAAAAAGGGAAGGAAAGGGGAGAAAACAATCAACTAACATATGCCATTATATATGCCTATATAATGATCAAAGAAGAAATATTTATGACTTCTACATTGCTCGTTTCTTTAGCCAGTCATAAGATCATAGCTGATATTTATAAATTTCTCCTTTAACACCCTATCCCACATTCTCTTGTCCTCAGACAGGACCTAAGCTGCCAGTGTTCTCTACTCACTACAGTGATCCAAACTTTAATTTCTGAAGGTTCTGAATTTTCAGTAGTCCTGCTTCTCTGTAGTTGCAATGATATTCACTAGTATTTACTATCGAGAGTAGAAGTATTAAGACACCCCCCAAAGAATCCCCTTATCTTCTAATACACTCCTGCCTGCCCTCAATTTCCTTGTGATTGTCAGGACCACTCATTGTGGCCATAATAGGAATCCTCTTCTTTGCCTAGTGGTGTAGTGGCATAAATGGTCCCAAATGGCCGAGAGACAATCTCAGCTCCCAGTTCATGAGAATCAAGTAGGAATCTTATTTTTTTTTTTTTGTACTGGGAATCGAACTCACAACTTCATGCTTGCCAGGCAAGCGCTCTGCTGCTGAGCTAAACTCCCAGCCCCTTCAATTAGGAATCCTAATGGAAGGATTTCTCTCTTGGAAACTAAAACTTCCAATCCAGTGTGGTACAAAGTTGAAGATTCTGGAAGCAAAAAGTCTGCAAGTGGATTATTAGGTTAAATGATGAGAAAAGCCACTCCCATTTCTAGACTCGTGTGTTCTGGCTGTGGGAGAAGAAATGCAATGTATTGTTTGCTAAATCCCATCACACGTTAAATCTTGTAAGAATTATCTACATGGAGTGTTGCCTCAAGTCTTTTTTTCCCCCTAGGCCAGCTGGTCATTCTACTGATATTAGGCCAGCTGTTCCTAAGCGGTTGAGCACACATTAAAACCAGTGACTTGTGTGATGATGAACCTTTGCTGTACTTCTACCGGGAATAAATTCCTTGATTAGAAGCCTTGTTGTCAGTAATATACCAAGATAGTGAGTAGGAATTCCAAACACCCACAGATGATGGTATAGGAAGAAGCATTATAAACAAGGAGAGGTCTCCATATCCAGAATATCCATCCCATTGAGGAGAGTTCTCTTTCTTATCTATGAAAGAAGGAGTTCAATGTAGTCATCCTGCCGCAAAATGGCTGATCCCTCCAAATGCTCCCTCCAGACAATGGTTTCGTATCAGAAGCTCAACATTAGTTATTCAGCAGTATCAGTATTAGATCACCACTGATGAGAAGAAATCATGCACAGCCTCCATCCTTATCAACATGGCTACTTTGCATATAATCCCATCAAGCAAACCCTAGGTGTCTGGACAAATACACTTACTGTCTAACAAGCATAAGACATAAAATTTTATACACTTGGTCATTGATATCCTATCTTCATTATATCCTTTGGTAAGATTTCATGTGGGGCATAAATATCTCACATTCTGCATGAATTCCAAGAGATTCCTCCACACATTACTCCCCTAGGCCTCCTCATCACCGTTCTTACAAATTTGTTTTTCCCAAGTCTCTGGCCATCCAGCTAAACCACTGACATGAATCAGTGTCAATCTAGCCATCTCCCGGACCAAAGTGAACAACAAAATCTTTCAGCTGAAGCCATGTTCACTGGCCTCCATCACTGTCCTTTAGAGTTACCTTTTGTTGGGGCTATGAAGTTGCAACCTTACACTTTTAGCTGGTATGAACATATCATTTAAAATAGTCTATAAATCAAGCCCAAGGTTTTTTCTCATTGGTCAGCTTCTCAAAAAGTTCTCATTGAGCCTTAGATGTGGATTGAGGGGGATGAAATCACATAATGGGTCTCACACAAGTTTAAACCATTTATGAATGCAATTTTCGTGTCTCTTCTGCACACATTCAAGTCGTTTGATGATGGTTTTTACTATCAGATACACCTAACCTTATGACATGAGCAGCTCAGGACACATGATCATTTAATGTCTCATGGTAAGGTTAGGTACCCATTCTTAAATATATCTTTATCCATTTATCTCTTAAATCATTTTATGGGTCTCACACTTCTTTCTGGAGCCTATTAAATTATATTTATTTTGTCATTTCATTTATGAAAGATGGTGGTAGCAGCATCTACATGTCTGGTCCTCTCTTCCAAGAATAAGTACAATCCAGTATCTGTTCCTCAAAAGTAGAATAATTATCAGCAAAAGAGGGCATGAATTTGTTCTAACCTGCATGCCTAAAGGCTGAACTTTTATAATGGCTAAGTAGGGGCTGGGGATTTAGCTCAGTGGCACAACACCTGCCTGGCAAGTGTAAGGTCATGAGCTCAATTCCTGGTACTGGAAGAAAAAAAAAAAAAAGAATGTAATGGCTAAGGAAATTTGCTTTTTCCTTCACAGGTCCTAAATATTGGGAACTCTGCCAATGGTCTTCTTGGGTGTGCGGGCTGTGGCCAGATGTTGATCATGGTTCATTCTGTTACAGGCACAGCCTCTGTCGCTGTGGCAGGGATCCTTGCTGCTCTGCGAATCACCAAGAACAAGCTTTCCAACCATGTGTTTGTTTTCCAAGGTGCAGGGGAGGTAAATGCCATGAGGGGTCTCTGCTGTCGCATAGGGAAGTATCAGAAAGGGAAGTATTTGTGGGTTCTGAGAAGAGGAAGTAGCATGTGTGTTATCTGATCATTGCAGCTTCCTCATCCTCAATATTTGATTCTCTCAAGGCAAGGATTTAACTGCACCTTCTGGGAATTGTGAGACTGGGGAAAAGGAGAGGGGCTCATTTTGGTGAGGCATCTGACACATGTGTCTAAACCTCTCTTTATAATACCCCCCAGGCAGCCATGGGCATCGCCCATCTCCTTGTCATGGCCCTAGAGAAAGAAGGTGTATCCAAGGCAGAGGCCACAAGGAAAATCTGGATGGTGGATTCCAAAGGGCTAATTGTCAAGGTACTGTCATTCTGAAGACCTGAAGGTTTCCTGACACATACAGTTCCCAGGAACTAGACTAAAAGTTTTCTCTAAGGGGCAAACTGCTTAGATAGAAAAGAGGAGGATACTAATGGTAACGGCCTAACATCCAAAGCAAAAGATTCATTCTGAAGTAGTTTTAAATGCTCTTATCCAAAAGTTCCAAATATGTGTGTGTAGCCTTTCCAGCTGTATTTCCTGTCACTTCCTGCCCTGACTAACCTCCAGCCATACTAAATCATAATTCTCCAAAGTCACATGTTCTCTCTCTTGTATACCATTGCATGTTTTGTTCTTCTGCCTGAAATTCTCTTGTCGTTTTTCCCACATACTCTGAATCTTCAACTCCGTCCCAGTTTCCTCCTTATGTTCCAATTAAGCTCAAACAGTACTTCCTCCAAGAAGTTTTCTCAGAGCACCTAAGTGTCAGCTTCCTACATCTCCATTCATATGAGCCTCAGCCCTCCATATACTGCACCTACAACCTTGCACAACAGTTGCCCTTTCATTTGTCCATTTCCTCCCTAAACTGTATAGTCTTGATGCCTGGCATGCAGTGACCACATAATTAATATATGAGTAGAAGAATGAATGAGAGAGAAATAACTCCTCTTCTGACTAGAATATGAGGGCTACAATGCTTGACCGTCAATCTCAGGGCTTCATTCAGAGATTCACCCTTTAATTTCCAGAATTCCATCAACATGGAATGCCAGCGAGAAACAGAGAACAATTAGAGTGAGAATGGGGAAATGTATGGGGTAATTGGTCAAGAATAGCACATGCCCTCAGTAGAAACTGGCCCTCCTACTGATCCATAGAAATCCAATCACTGAAGTAGGAACTTAGGCCTAGTGATTCCTCTTGCTCACGCTCATGTCATCCTGAGCATAATCCAGCCGTAAATACAAGCTGCCAGCACCTGCCACTCTTCCTTCCTGCTCATTTTGCATTGTCATTGTGCTCACCCTGTGGAACTCACCCCTACCCAAGGAGCTGTCAAAGCGGACAGCCTTACGCTGTTTCTCATGAGGCCAGCTGATCCAAAGGAATCATTAGACATGTTTGTACTCATTTACCAGCACTCATTCCGTCCTGTAACGCACAGTATTCTATTTGAAGAAACGGAAAGAACCTGGAGCTGGTCTGACATACCTGGCTCTTCGAAGCCTATCCTGGAGCTCAGTTTACTATTATTCACAAGAAGGCTACAGGGCCTGATAAAATATATTCACACTATCTCTCTGCCCCTAGGTGGCTTCAGCCCCATCCCTCAACTGGACCTGGTTGCTGGATATCTTGGGGGCAGAGGCTTAGTCAGATTTGGGTATTTCCTGAGAGCACTGATGTCCTGGCCAGGAAGTCATGGCCCAAGCAGCTCAAAGAAATGCTTTGTTAACTCTCCCTGTGTGGTTTGGGTTAAAAACAAAACACACACACACACACACACACACACACACACACACACACACACAGATTTCACCTTAGCCTGGGAAACCTGCTCAAGAAGATAAGCCTCAAAGGTTCTGAGAGCTCACACCAAAATATGGGGCTGAGCAAAGACTGCTCTCAGATGTTTCCCGTACATCCAGGCCCCTCTCCAACACTGCTCAACAGCACAACCGCTTCATGAACTTTCTATTCTTACAGGGAAGAAGCCACCTGAACCAAGAAAAGGAGATGTTTGCCCAAGACCACCCTGAAGTGAACTCTCTGGAGGAGGTGGTGAGGCTAGTGAAGCCCACAGCCATCATAGGTAGGAGGATGAAGATGACCCACTGTCCAGTTCAGCTAACTCTCTTGATTTGCAGATGGACTGACTGAGGCTCAATCAGGAGATATAAGGAACTCATGGAAGCACAGTGCTACCCTCTATCTCATATCTAATGCCACTTTTGCTGAGTGGTTACTGTATAAAAAAATAGAAGCAAATACGGTGCTAAAGTTGGGGCCAAGAATGCAGTGGAAAAATACAGGACTAGTCCTCTAACCAAGATAAGATGAGATGAGGACTTCTCCCTCCCCTGCAGGAACCCATCTTTTCCTTCATTAGGGGAGAAGCCCATTGTCATTAACAATGCCTGGGAATGTCTTCAAGGTGTATCTAACTGGCAGGGATGTGTAGACCAGTGATCCTTTAGGGATGAACAGGAGGTCTCAGGCAGCTTCAGCAGGAAGACCCTCTTCCCTTCTGCTCCCTCTGTCCCTATGGCAGACACTATCCCCCAGACTCCTGTGTCTTTTGTGGTGCACTTAGTTTGCCCAGAAGAATGGGTTGTTTATAAAGAGTAGGTATCCCCACTACCCCCCACCTTTTCCCTGTAGGTGTTGCCGCCATCGCAGGAGCCTTCACGGAGCAGATTCTGAGGGACATGGCCTCCTTCCACGAGCGCCCTATCATCTTTGCCCTGAGCAACCCCACCAGCAAGGCCGAGTGCACAGCTGAGAAGTGCTACCAGGTCACAGAGGTCAGCGGGGAGTTCTTCCTTCCCCCAGCTGAGAGGACATAGTAATAATAACTATGAGTAAGCTAGAAGGTGAAAAAATTCCCATCATCATGAACAAACTGAGTTCAGAGAGGTGAAATAACTTGCCTAAGGTCACAGAGCTAATAAAGAGGAGAGCTGGCCTTGAAACCCAGGTCTTACTCCAGAGCACGAGCTCTCACCATTACGCTACTCTGTTCAAGGTTTCCCCTAAATAACGTAAAGCTTTGGCCAGAACCCAGGGTTCTTAAAGACTACAGGCCACTTGATACATGCTGTCCCTGGACTGGCTTCTAGGTGACAGGTGTAAAAAGTTACTAGAAACTCCATCACCTTTCAGTGGTTTCTTGGCTACCAGATAACTTGTGTGGGGCAGGAGGCCTCTTGGAGGGAGGGCTGATGGTGAGCTTTCTGGTAAAAGGAACAAATACGCTTGAGTACTTGCTATGTTCTCAGCACAACGCTGGGCATTGGGGAGAGGATAAAGAAGGGTGCAACGTTCGGAAGATAAGAAAACTGCCCCAAACCATTACCGCCCCAAACCAATCTCCATCCCTGGTTTTCTTCCTACCTCCAGGGTCGAGGGATCTTTGCCAGTGGAAGTCCTTTTAAGAGTGTGACTCTGGAAGATGGAAAGACCTTTATTCCTGGGCAGGGAAACAATGCCTATGTGTTCCCTGGGGTAGCACTGGGCGTCATCGCCGGAGGAATCCGGCATATCCCGGATGAGATCTTCCTCCTGACAGCAGAGGTATCATTGTCATTGCTTCCTTGAATGCTTCTAATAGGGCCTTTGAGTCAACATCAAGTCCTACACTTGGCCCAAAATATTCCTCCTTTCTTGACTCTTCTATCCACCTGCTCCTAGACTTGGCAATGGACCCCCAAAGAATGTGAACCTCAGGCATCTTTCAAGATCATCTTGAGGCCTGACTTTCTCTCAAATCACACTCAGAATTTTTGAGGTGGGGGAGTGAGAAGTACTTAATGGGAGGCAGTGTTGGCAGAGGCACTGGCAGTGACGGACATGCTAGAACTTCTCCCTCCTAGCAGTGCCACCTATAGACACAGATACAGATGCTGTCAGAGCCACCTTTAGGGCCTTGCAGACTACGCCTTAGTCATATCGATGGAGAAACTGGACACTTTATCAAGGACACTTTCTGTAAAGGAGCAATTGAGGTGAATGCCTGGCTTTCCTACTGCAAGCAGCATTATGGGGGTGGTGGAGATATACTTGTTCCAGGTATCATGTTAGAAAAGCTCCTGGAAGTATTCTTTACTGGAAGAAAGTTTTCTTTACATTAAAAAATTCATTAAAACTGACAGCTCACATTCACAATTCAGTTATTAATTACAATTACAAGAGTGATGACATTATTATTTACTAAATGCTAGGCACTTGACGTTTATTCTCACTTTGAAGAGACCAAGGCATAAAATTGTGTCTCTTTGGAGGTTAAACTTATCAAAGCTATACACAAATATTAAATATACTTATACCTAACAAGTCCCAAAGACTTCCCCATGACTTCTAATTCTTTCTAGATTTCCTTCTCACCATGGCTCTGGTGAGTAGCCCAAACAAGAAGACTTCTACACAGTCCTGTTCCAACGTGCTATAGATTAGGAGTTGTCCTATGCCCTATGGCCCTTCCTATGTCTGATCTTTGCATGTTGGCTCTACAAGGCCATGAAAATAGGGTCTCCTAAAGGCTTTCAAGTCACTCCCTGACCATGTGAATACCAGTCATGACTTTCTCTCATAACCCTGTCCCCTTTGTCTGAACATTCTGTATTTGTATTTTTCCCATTGTTACGATGGGTGTTCATGTCCTATGGTTTTGGCAGAGTTCTTTGAAACTCCCATTGGTGGAGGGAGTCACTTCTTGCTTCGAGTCCACCTAGAAGCAAATTCCCCTGTTGCACAATAACAGAGCTTGTAGAGCCCTTCTAATATGACCCTGTAAGACTCAATGTGAGTGTGTGGGGTACTGTGGCTCCATCATTTTATGAACAGTGCCCATCAGTTACACAAGAACCTCTGCTCAGTCTATTTATTAAGTACCTGCTATAAGCAGGATAAGGCCCTTCCCTTCTAGAAGCTGAAAGTCTGGTCTTGAAAGATCTGACAATTTTATTTCTGAAAAAAGTGCATTTAGTTAAGACAATTTAAGTTGAACTTGATTGTTATGGAAAATTAATGTAGGTTTTATGAAATTTACATGCATGACCTCATTCTACCATAACAATCATGTAATATAGGTATAGTGTTTACCTCTATGTTATAGACCGGGAAGGTGAAACATGGTTTAAAGGACTTGCCAAGGTCTCTGGGCTTTTGAGCACCAGCATGGCCCCAAGCAACCCGACTCCACACTAGGGCAGGAAGCAGTGCCCAGCATCTCAAAGTGGCCCCGCATACCATGATTTACCTCTTCACAGGATGACCTCTCTAGAAGCAGGTCTAGCCATGGAAATCCTGCTTCTCTCTAATCAATCTATCTTCTATACCTCCACAAAGATAATCCTTCAAACACTGATCAGACCAAGTCTCTCCTAATTTCGTATCTTTTCATGGCTCCTGGAGTTATTAAAATAACATCCGAACTGCTTCCCATAGTTTCAATGCAAGGTAATTTATTACCAGGCCCTCCTTCTCTTCCCAGCTTCGCTTTTAGCCTCTCCCTACCATTAACACATCCAACACAGTTTTCAAACTCACATCCATGCTTTTTCTCACCTCACAGCATTTGCATGTAATTCATAATATCATGTATCTCCCCTTTTTAAGTAATTCATACTTTGTCCATTGGCTGTCAGCTTATGACAGTTCTTCTGTAAAGCTTTTCCTATACTTGGCAAATGAGGTCCCACATTCCTCTATCCCCTAGCCCAATGGTGATGCACCTACGGCATGCATACAGCAGCCAGCTATTTGTATCACTGAAAGCCCTAAAACGTTCACCATCACTGCATCACTGCCCCAGGCCCTTCCACTGCATTCACCCACTAAGCATTATAATAGTTAACTGTGCACTGACAGCAGCATCTAAGAGGGAAAGAACTATGACTTTTCAGCATGGATCCCCAATACTGTACCTAGCACAAAACCCAGTGTACTGTACAGCTCAGTGAATATTTGACTGAATAAAAAGAGGGATGAGAGTGTGAGGAGGCAGAAGAGGGAGAGACCCACTTTCTAATGTCTGCAAACTCAGAGTAGAGACCAACTCCACTTGCCTTGTTATTTCTGCAACAAAGAGTTCTCAGGGAACACCAGTAGCTTTGCTCCAATTTTGAACATGACACTAGAAGATCGATGGGGATAGATTGAGAGCTACCACATTCAAGAGGCTGATCTTCTAGGCTGGCTGAGCACCAACACTGAGACAAAAAATAAGTCCTGTGTAGTATTAGTGTGTCATTCGCTTGCTGGAGGAAAGGCTTTCTTCAGGATGTGACCATGGCAAGAAGGAAGAGCTCATGGAGCCCTGAACAAAAAAATAATATTGCCTGGATGAGCACCCAGGATAGTACCAAGCATGTGGAGGAGACTGGGACCCAGGAAGTAAGGAATCCCAGATCCTTGTGAAATAGGCTGGACCCATCAAGAAGACATCCCATAGTCTGCTTTGCAAGCAAAAAGTTTATTCATCTTGGTCTTAGTGATTTTCCTTTAGAATTCAGAGAATATGTTGTTTTAAGGATCAGCCAGTCTCACAGCACAGGAGAGAGTGTCTAAGTTTAACCTTAGGATCCCTTGGCACTGTGTGGTAACAAAGTCAACTTTAGGAGCTGTAACATTTGACCACCTGTGCAGGGCTGGATGGGTCTCTGGGGTAATGGGTTGGCTTTGTTCTGGAACATCAGAAACTTGGTTTATTATTTTGGTTCTCTCCCTTTCTCCAGCAAATTGCCCAGGAGGTCTCTGAGCTGCATCTGTCCCAGGGAAGACTGTACCCACCTCTCAGTACCATCCAAGATGTGTCTCTGAGGATCGCCATCAAAGTAAGGGGCATCCTACCCCTACAACTGGGTAGTGAGGCACATCTATTTATCTCTGTCTTTTGAGGGCTAGGGGATGATAGAGGTTGAGTGCAAACTCTACCCTACAGCCTGAGCCCCCCAAACCCCAGCCATTTCTAAGAAATCTCCTGAATTACCTCCCAAACATGAAGCAGAAAGGTCACCAAAGTCTATAGTGTCATAGACTAGAATATGGGAGGGATTTTTAATGAATCATAATCGTCCATCAATAAGAGACACCATATTGCATTGCATCATGGGAATGGCCCAGGCTTTGAAGTCAGCCAATTAGTGGAGTAACCTTGTACTAATCATTTTCCTGAGCCTGTTTCCTCCTTTTCCAAATGGGCCAGTAGTCCCAGTCTCCCAGAGTTCTGGAAAAAAATTTGAAAGAACAGTGAGAAAACTCTGTACCAACGCCTGCCTGAGTAGATGCTCATTCTCCTCCTTTCTGTCAGAATGGCTGGATCTCAAGATAACTGGGTTCATGGAATAGTCCATGAGATAATGCAAAGATGATGAATATGAGCATGGAGCTCCCCCTAAATTATAACTGCTGAAGTTGAATAATGGGTACCTAAGATTTATGATACTATTAGTTACATTCATGTACATGTATTTCTATATCTTTGTTCAATAACTTCATGAATGCATTGCACAATAGTGCACAATAGCACACACTCCCCATGAGTGGTCCAGCGCATGATCCAGAATCGGCCCTAAACAGCAGTCCAGCTCATGGGTCAGCTCCACCCTGTCCAGATTCCTTCTTTTGCAATATTTATATTTAAGTTCTTCAAAGTCAAATCTAATGCCCAGAGAATAGTTCCCAGAATACTCGTCTAACTCAACCTACACCCAGGAAGGAAAACAAAATTAGATTGGTTGGTTGGTTGGTCGGTTGGTTGGTTTGTGACAGGGTCTTGCTGTGTAGTCCAGGCTAGCCTCAAACTCATATCAATCCTCCTGCCTCAGCCTCCCTAATGCTAGGATTACAGGCATGGCTAACAAAATTAGATACTGCACATTTTTACCTGTTACCTAATTTTATTTCACACCACTCCAGAGAAAGGTATCATTACCCTCACTTTACAAGAACTTGAAGAACTGAAGAACCAAGGCTCAGCAAGCATGTTGTCCTGGCAGGGTACCCACAAGCAATTGGAAGTAGGCAGAATTTAGGCTGAGCTTCTTGACACTGACCCAATATTTATTCCACTATTTCAAAACTGCCTACCCAGACGGAAAGCTTAAAAATCCCTCCTCTCTGTGGTTTCATGAGCCACAACTCATGAATATGCCTGGTTCTTCCTCTGCCCCAGAATCCATACAAGGGCCTTTAGGCAGGTTTTCCCTTAGATCCAGTTCCTCAGCCAAACATGTTTTTTCCTAGGTCCTCGACTATGCGTACAAAAACAACCTGGCCTCCTACTACCCAGAGCCCAAGGACAAGGAGGCTTTTGTAAGATCCTTGGTCTACACTCCAGACTATGACTCCTTTACACTGGACAGCTACAGTTGGCCCAAGGAAGCCATGAATGTTCAGACAGTCTGATGCAGTCTCAGGGGTTGGTGTGGGGCTGGATGAAGCCCAGAGTAATACCTACAATATAAATGGATTCCAAAATGGCCATCCTTGTCACTGTGTTTTCTTTCCCATGAGCACTGTGGGTGAGGGGAAATGCTGAGACATACAGTGAATGAGATCCTTATCCCTGAAAAACCTGGAAGTTCATTTTGCTGTAACTCTTTTGTGAATTCCTTCCCAAGCATTTCTTCATCTATTGATTGCCAACTATTGTCCTGCCTGGGTTCCTACCAAGACTGGACATAATTCATTTTGCCACAACATAAAGAACATGGTAAGAGGGTAGAAATGTGCAGATAAAGGTCAAGGTTTCTCAGAGAGGAGAAGACCATTTCTATCAGGACATGAGAAGGTTCCTGGGGAGTAGTATATGTACTGGGTTCCAAGAGTGGAAGATGGGTGGAAGTCATGGAGAGACAAGGAATGTGTTCGTGTTTGAGACAGCCACTAGCCAGAAAATGTGGCCCGCCCATAAGCGAATGCAGTCCCTGTCAGAGGAACACACTCCCTTTAAGACTCAGCAGGGTGTGAGGTCTGAGTTGGCTGGAGGCAGCTCACTAGCCATGAGCAGTCACTGCCTTGTAGATTGTACAGTAGTACACATTCTTATTTATTACTAAAAGGACAATCAGAGAAATGTGGGTGGAGAGGTCCAGCACGCCAAAGAGTAAAGAGGAAGAGAAGCAGTGAGGGGGAGAACTATAGGGAGTTCAAAGGAAGACGGGTTTTATTGTCCTCGCTCTGGAACACATTCTCTTCTGTCCTGCACACCCCAAAGTAACTGAGCAACCCAGAGCAGCTTTCTTGCAGATGTTATGTCAGTTTGTTCTAGGTATCTCCTAGACCAAGTTCAGCATTTGTTTCTCTCCTAGCCAACAAAGCCCACATCATAGGGTATGGGGATGAGGAAAGTGCTAAAGCTGTTGGGATGGCAGCTGCAAATGCCTAATTTTTTGTATTAATCATCCTTAGGGATCTACTGTTGCTGCCACCACAGTGTCAGAATTCCCACTACCTACAAGGAGTAGGCCACATTTGATCAGTGACAAGCCAGGTGGGCTATCAGGCTTCTAGAAGAGTAGTTATCAGAGCCATCACTCACCTTCTCCTCAGATGTTTTCTTCTAAGTCTTATTCTTTGGTCTGGTGCTCAGCCAAGAATATCCTGATAAAACATCTCTCCTCTGTGAGACTTGGACTCACAGAGACTGGTAAACTGTTCAGAGGAAGGTTTGAAGAGTGAAGCTGGAATGTGAACACCAGGGAACTATTCATACTATTGTTCTTCATTAAGCACCATACCCCTGAAGGGGTTTTTTTTTATTTTGTCCACAGACTGATCTTAAAATTTATATAGAAATGCAAATAAGTAAGAACATCCCTTTTTAACAAAGAAGAGCAAATTGCACTATTCAGTTTCAAAAACTTACTATATATGTTATACTAATCAAGACTGTGGTCCTATAAATAAGTAAAACATAACTGAGAGTTCACAAATAAGTTCTTATATTTATAATAAATTGATTTTTCATCAAGCCTACTAAGATAATTTAATACAGGAAAGAATAGTCTTTTGTAAAAAACTAACGCTGGAAAAACTGTATATGCACATGAAAAAAACAAAATGAAATTTTAAAAATCCCTTAGACATCTCATACCATACACAAAAATTAACTCGAAATAGATCATAGACCTAAATGTAAAAAACAAAAACTATAGATTTCTTGAAAAAACAAAGTGGAAAATCTTATGACTTGGTTTGGGGAGAATTCTTAGGTATTATTTTAAAAGCATCATTCATAAAATAAAAAATATTATGCTCGATCAAAATCTAAAACTTTGCATTTCGAAACATACCATTTAAAAAAGTGAGTAGCACCCTGGGTGAAAATATTTGGAAATTATATATCTGATAAAGGCCTTACAAGCAAAATATATAGAGAACCTTCACAATTCACTGGCAATCCAGTTTTTTAAATGAGCAAAATATGCAAATGGCTAATAAACGTATAAAAATAGGCTTAACATTAAGTGAAAACTGAATCCACAATGGAATACCAGTTCACATTTACCAGAATGATTATCATTAAAAAATTATTTGTTGATGAGGATGTGGAGAAACTGAAACATCTTTAGCAGGATGTTATCTCCTAAACATTACGAGATTAAGGAAGATTTTCCACTGCCCTCTTAGTCTCCATTGTAACTCCTCAGGCTCTTATGTATAGTTCCAGAATTCAGCAAGCATAATGCTGTGCTTATACCACTCAGGTTTTTCCTCAGGTCTGAAACACTCATTTCACTCATCTGCCATTATAAGCAGAGTTTCACAGCTACATCCCTCTCTGAGAATTGCTCTTGACTAAAGGAAGATACTTCACTCAAGTTTATACCATCATACCCAGCCATAGTCTGCATCCAATGGGCATCAATAATTGATTCAAGCATCCAAATCCCAGCCTTATTGCCTAAATTTCAAACATCTCCAAATAGTCACCCCATCTTCAAGACTCCTTATGAGTGGCTGAAGCTACTACTGTGACTCTTGTGTAAACATTACCATCTTCTGCCCATTCTGCTTGTGTAGTCCTTTCACAGATGGTGTTCCCTGAGAAGACTGCTCAGTAAATCTCCGAATGCAAATCTCATATTCAGCATCTGTGTGATGGGAAACCTAACTTGAAACAGATGGAAAAAACTAGCCAAGCTTTTCAATTTTTCAATCCGTTGCATCAATCCCACATGATCACCAAAAGCCTTGCTGGGTTTCTCAATCTTAGGAGAAATCTTTTTTATAGACTAAACCTGATCTTTTTTAGTACATGTCCAGAATCAGTAAATACCCCCTAGAAAAGAAAATGGCTCACTTCAAAAAGGTACTTACCTCTCTGGAATGCCTATCCATCTAGTACTTGTTGCTTTCATAGCACTCATATATCCCTAAACATGAATTTTGAAAAAATTTTCACATTTTTCTGATACTGCAGGTAATGTCTTGAGCTATCACGATCTATTACTTCCTATCCAGAAGTAGAAGTCTCTAGACACAGACTTTCAAAATTTCAGATGAATTTATACGAACTTTTTTCCTAACTTTAGTGAATTATAATCAGAGAAGTTGTTTTGAATTATTCAAATATCTTATTTGAATTTGAATTTGCAGAAATTCGTTTGATCAAATGTATGATCAAAACAGAATGTGTATTTTCACATGGTTGGCTACATTGTCCCTTATATGTTAATGGGATCAGGCTATTTATTTTGCTTAACTCTATATCCTTATGAACTTTTGTCTACTTGATTGGTTTCAGAATGAGAGATGGTAAAATTTCCTACAGGTATGGTAATCTTTTCAGTTTCTCTTCTAGCTTTATCCATATTTGCTTTATATATATTGGACTAGTGTTAGTAAGTGCATATGTTGAAAACTGCTATAACTTCTGTTGAATTCAAACTTTTGAAACTTTAAGTAGTAATTTTCTTTATCTTTGCTTCTACTTTTATTTTTTATTTTCTTATATTCACTTCTACTTTACATCTACTTCTACTTTTGTATGTTCTTCTACCTTTTACTGATGTTAACACAGCCATACCATCTTAGAATTCTCTTTCTCTTTCAATTCATTATTTACTCACAAATCTGGTGAAGGCAAACACTGACATATTATTGCTCCCATAGAACTTTAACCATTTATTCCCAGACAGTTGGAAAATATACTAACATTACAACATAATACCACTTTATCAATTTCTTAATAAAACTAATTATCAAGGATCCCAATATTATAGTTTTTAAAAGCATATGCTATTAAGTCAAATTAATTCAATAGTAGAAATCTACTTTTTTTGGTTGGAAAGACAAAGGAAAATATACATTAAAACAATAGCTAAGCAATTTCCAGTATGTATGGTGAATTATAAATTTTCAAAAATTGTGTAACTATTGTTTTAGCTACAAATCATCTCTAAGTTAGACACATCCTCCATAAAACAAAGGCAACATCTTACCAGAAATATTTTATAGTCTCCTCCCATTCTATCCTTAGTATTACCTCTCTAAATTGCCCCCCAAAATGTAAACATTGTGAAGATTTTTTTTAAGCAAAGACATTAAACACATGTGCTCTGGGCAATGTGGATTTTATGTGAACTTTTAACTAGAAGTTGATCTTCCAAAATGGAGATTTTTCCTAACAGTATGAGATTTATAGGAAGACATTAAATAATGACACTTGGTAAGAAGCAAACAAAATCTATGCAAACCTGATGCATATCAAAACAAATACTGGGTGTAAGACTAAAGGGGCAGACAAATGACTGTATAGGCTGTACTTACAATGTTGGGAATCATTTAAGGAATAAACCACATCCTTAAGTGTTTAAGATGTGTAAATTGCTCTATATAGTTCTTGGGATTTTAATTCCATACAACTTTGCTAGTTGTACTAAAAATATACACCTATTATGCTGGGTATCCTGGCACCTAATCTCTCACATATCGTTTCTGGCATGGAACAGTGGTAAGCAAAACATAAGAGGTGGCAATTCTGTCAAGCTTGTGGCTTTCCAATATTCTTAAGGAAGCTTCACTGGACTTATTCACTAAGCCAGTATGTTGGCTAACATGTAGAATAAATTAGGTCATCTCCATTTCCACTTCCAAGGCCATACAGCATCATACAGCCAAGTTTTATTGAATGCAACAGTTGTTTCTGTGACTACTGGACTCTTTGAAGCACAGTCGCATTTTAGAACGATATTTTTCTAAGTACAAAAGTTGTTTGCTGTTAAAAGCTCCGCGCCGCTTTTGTCTTATAAACTGCACTGCATCTTCATTTTTCATGCCACTTTCAATTAAGGCTAGGGCAACAAGCACTGGAGTTCTCCCAAGACCTGCAACACAGTGAACAGCAATACAACAACCAGGTTCTTCACGAAATTTAATGTTCACAAGATTCAACCAGTCATCAACAATCTGTTTGGATGGTGATGAACCATCATCAAAAGGCCAGTCCAGAACCTGAATGCCTTCTTCCTCCACAAG